GAATCATCCCAAAAGCATCCCCCCTGCCCCTGGTCAGTGGAAAAATTATCTTCCATGAAACCAGTCCCTGATGCCAAAAACGTTGGGGACCACTGTGTTAATGGACATTTGGTGGACATTTAGATTGGTTTTGTTTTGTTTTGTGTTGGAGACAGAGTTTTGCTCTTTTGCCCAGGCTGAAGTGCAGTGGCGTGATCTCAGCTTACTACAACCTCCGCCTCCTGGGTTCAAGCAGTTCTGCCTCACCCTCCCAAGTAGCTGTGATTACAGGCACCCACCAGTATGCCCGGCTAATTTTTGTATTTTTAGTAAAGAAGGGGTTTCACCGTGTTGGCCAGGCTGGGCTCAAACTCCTGACCTTGTGATCTGCCTGCCTCGGCCTCCCAAAGTGCTGGGATTACAGGCGCGAGCCACCAGGTCCAGCCTTGTTTGTTTTTTGACACAGGGTCTTGCTCTGCCACCCAGGCTGGAGTGCAGTGGCACAACTATGGCTCATTGCAGCCTCCCAGGCTTAGGCAATCCTCCCACCTCAGCCTCCCAACTAGTTGGGACTATAGGCACATGACACCATATCTGGCTAATTTTTTTATTCTTTGTAGAGATGGGGTTCCGTCATGTTGCCCAGGTTGGTATGGAACTCCTGGGCTCAAGCAGTGCCCCTGCCTGGGCCTCCCAAAGTGCTGGGATTACAGACATGAGCCACCAGGCTGGAGTGCAATAGTGTGATCCTAGCTCACTGCAACCTTCAATACTTGGGCTGTAGCCGTCCTCCCAGAGTAGCCTCCCAAATGCACATCACCACTTTTTTTTTTTTTTTTTTTTTTTTTGAGACAGAATTTTTTTTTTTTTTTTTGGAGACAGAGTCTCGGTCTGTCTCCCAGAGTGGAGTGCAGTGGCACAATCTCGAGTCACTGCAACCTCCACTTCCCGGGTTAAAGCAATTCTGCCTCAGCCTCCAGAGCAGCTGGGACTACAGGTGCCTGCCATTATGCCTGGTTAATTTTTGTATTTTAAGTAGAGATGGGGTTTCACCAGGCTGGTTTGAACTCCTGACCTTGGGTGATCTGGTGATCTGCCCACCTTGGCCTCCTAAAGTGCTGGGATTACAGGCGTGAGCCACTTTTTTTTTTTTTTTTTTTTTTGAGACAGAGTCTTACTCTGTCACCCAGGCTGGAGTGCAATGGCTCGATCTCGGCTCACTGCAACCTCTATCTCTCGGGCTCAAGTGGTTCTCATGCCTCAGCCTCCCGTGTAGCTAGGATTACAGGCACGCACCACCACACCCAGCTATTTTTTGTATTTTTAGTAGAGACGGGGTTTTGCCATATTGGCTAGGCTGATCTTGAACTCCTGACCTCAAGTGATCCCCCATCTTGGCCTCCCAAAGTGCTGGGATTACAGTCATGAGCCACTGCACCTGGCTCGTATATTAGCTATTCTTATTTTTCTCTCTATTGTATTTTACTTTTCTTGTTGATAACCTTCTTAGTAAACTGTTTGCAACTAGTGATAAAATTACAGTATAATGTGGTAGAAAGAACGTGGGACTAGAGTTGGAAGATATGCATTTTAGTTGCATGTGAGACATTACCAAGCCATGCCAGTTTGGGCACCTTTATTTTTTCATGCCTTTACCTTATTTCTCAAACAAGATAAGACTAAATGATTGCTAAATTCATTGGTCTAAATTTTATGGGTTTTGCTTTTGTAGAGGCAATATTAAATATTCACTTTAAATGATCAGTACTGGAAACATGGAAAGGAGTGACATTTATACACTTTTATTTTCAAAATCAATAATATTAGGGATCCCAATATAATACATTGCATTTCAGTTTTGAGACTAATGTTGAAATGTTATATTGCTTTAAAAAATAACAACATTGAGTTGCAGAAGAGAGGCTGGCTGTTCATAATACGTATTTTTAGTTAACGTCAGTGCCTAAATTTACTGTTACTGTCAAAATTTACAGAACATTTTGCTCCCTCAAAACTGATTTTGGCATAAAATATGTTGACAAGATTTTACGTATTTTTGACCACAGTATATTCCTTTGCTTGTTGTCAGTTTTTGTGTACCATTGATATCTGATGATGTCCTTTTATGTTTCAATTATCCATTTGACTCCAATTATGTGTAGTTAAGATGTAAGTTTTTAGCTACCATGACTCTGAGAGTGATTTCATGTGTAGTTTATTTTATGATGATTTAAAAGTTGGGCTCACTTCAGAAGGGCTTGAGAAATTTTACAGAAATTATGTTCTACTCACTTTGAAAATAAAAAATTAAGATAAAAGACAAAAGCTGAGGAGCCAATTAATGAGAATTTGTATCAGGAATTCTTACAAACCAACTCAAAGAATAAAAAATTGGTTATATAGTAGTCTTGGTCTAATAGGAAGTATGTCAGTTTTTCAAGAAAAAAGGTTTTTTCTGGCTGTTGTTTTTTTGTGTTTTAATTAAATTTTTTTCCTAAGTAATATTTGTACAGGATTTAAATTTTAAAAGCACAGGATTTAAAATTCAATGAAAAGTATGTTTTATTTTGTCTCCTGTTTCTGAGTCACTTTCCTTAATTTCTTTTTTTGTTTGTTTGTTTGTTTTTGAGACTGAGTCTCTCTCTGTTGCCCAAGCTGGAGCACAGTGGTGTGATCTCGGCTCACTGCAAGCTCTGCCTCCTGGGTTCACGCCATCCTCCTGCCTCAGCCTCCCGAGTAGCTGGGACTACAGGTGCCCGCCACCGCGCCTGGCTAATTTTTTTGTATTTTCAGTAGAGACGGGGTTTCACCATGTTAGCCAGGATGTTCTCGATCTCCTGACCTCGTGATCCGCCCGCCTCAGCCTCCCAAAATGCTGGGATCACAGGCGTGAGCCACCGCGCCTGGCCCTCCTTAATTTCTTTTTAGGAAGCAAACGTTATTACGTGTATGGCTAATCTTTTGTATTTTTGGTACAGACAGGGTTTCACCGTGTTGCCCAGATTGGACTTGAACTCCTGGGCTCAAGTGATCTGCCTCCCGGGGCCTCCCCAGGTGCTGGGACTACAGATGTACACCACTGTTCCAGCCCACCAGTGATGTTTGAGAGTGGTATTTCTCACATTTCTGACAACACTGTATTTTATCTTTTTTTTTTTTTTAACAATTTGATAAATTTTTTCTATAATGACATCTCATAGTATGATTTTATATTTTTCTTTTTTTTTTTTTATTTTATTTATTTTTTTTTTGAGACGGAGTCTCGCTCTGTCGCCCAGGCTGGAGTGCTGTGGCCGGATCTCAGCTCACTGCAAGCTCCACCTCCTGGGTTCCCGCCATTCTCCTGCCTCAGCCCCCCCAGTAGCCGGGACTACAGGCGCCCGCCACCTCGCCCGGCTAGTTTTTTGTATTTTTTAGTAGAGACGGGGTTTCACCGTGTTAGCCAGGATGGTCTCGATCTGCTGACCTCGTGATCCGCCCGTCTCGGCCTCCCAAAGTGCTGGGATTACAGGCTTGAGCCACCGCGCCTGGCCTATTTTATATTTTTCTTGGTTGCATCAGGCTATGTCAGCTTCATGCCATTAAATTTTTTTTTTTTTTTTTGAGAGGGTCTGTGTCACTCAGGCTGGAGTGCAGTGGTACAATCATAGCTCACTGCAGCCTCGATCTCCCAGGTTCAAGCAATCCTCCCACCTTAGCCTCTCGAGTAGCTGGGACCTACAGGCATGTACCACCATGCCCAGCTAATTATTTTATTTTTTGTAGAGACAGGGTTTCACTTTGTTGCCCAGGCTGGTCTCGAACCCCTGGGCTCGTGTGATCTTCCCACTTCGGCCTCCCAAAGTACTGGGATTACAGGCATGAGCCACTGTGCCTGGCTGCCATTAAGTATTTGAATCGTAATGAACTCATCTGGTTCTATGCATACCAATTATCAACCAATTGATAATTGGATTTCCCCAGATACTTTGGGTATAGCCAGATCAATACAAATGTCTGGTCTCCTTGGAATTAATAGTTCTCACTGTAAATTCCTTTGTTATTGTGATTTTGATATACTCTTGTGAGATTTACATTAGTTAATATCCCTCCATTTAATTAAATTTGGAGCACTCATATTTCTGAGCCTTCAAGTTCAAGTTGCTGAAATTGTCATAAATTCATGAAGGTAAATGTCATTATGGTAATTTAAAACAAATTATTTGACACTTTTCCCATCAGGAGGTGGGGTGTATTATGTGTATTATGTCCCCTTCTCTTGAATCTAAAATGGGCCTATTACTGCTTTGATCAATAGAGTACCATAAAAGTAATGCTATTGAGACTAGGTCATAAAAGGCTATGCATCTTCTTATTCACTAGAACATTCACTCTTAAAGCTCTAAGCTACTATATAAGAAGTTTGACTACCCTAGGCTGTGTACAGTGGTTCACGTTTGTAATCCCAACACTTTGGGAGGTTGAGGCGAGCAGATCACGAGGTCAGGAGTTTGAGACCAGCCTGGCCAACATGGTGAAACCTCGTCTTTACTAAAAATACAAAAATTAGCCGAGCTTGGTGGCAGGTGCCTGTAATCCCAACACTTTGGGAGGTTGAGGTGGGCAGATCACAAGGTCAGGAGTTTGAGACCAGCCTGGCCAACATGGTGAAACCTCGTCTTTACTAAAAATACAAAAATTAGCCGGGCTTGGTGGCAGGCACCTGTAGTCCCAGCTACTCAGGAGGCTGAGGCAGGAGAATCGCTTGAATCCGGGAGGTGGATGTTGTAGTAAGCTAAGATCGCACCACTGCACTCTAGCCTGGATGACAGGGCAAGACTCCGTCTCAAAAAAAAAAAAAAAAAGTCTGACTACCCTAAAGCCATCATGCGGGAGATATTATGTGTAGGCATTACAGTTGACAGCCCTAACTGAACTAACAGTCAACAGCCAGCATCAATGGCCAGTTTGGCAACACAATCAAATTAATATCTTGAAAAATATTTACACATTAATTATCAACTCAATTTTTTTCAATATAGATGAAAAGATATAATGTAAGTCATCTTGGACATCTAGCCCAGTGGAGCCTTCAGATACTCTCCCCAACTGCTACCTTATTGCCGCTTCCTCAGACCTTCAAGTGAGAACCACTTAGCTGAGTCCTGTCAACCTACAGAGCTGTGAGATATAGTAAAATGGTTTTTCTTCTAGCCACTAAGTTTTGGGGTAGTTTGTTTTATAGCAACAGATAACTGAAACAGCTGCCTGAGAGCCTCTCTGGGTGAGTTACAAGATCTTCCCAAGTTGTGTCTTTAGGTGCCTTCTTAGAATTTCAGATCTTCCTGTCCAATGTCCATTTTAGCTTTTTCTGTTCATCTTCATTTCTACTGACACCATTCTTTTCTGTACTCTCATAATCTCCAATTGCCCAACTGATTCCAGCCTTCAATTTTCTTCAGTCCATCCTGCATTCATCTGAAAGAATGTCTGCATATTAAATTTTCTTAAAACACAGTTTTGGTTATATTTCTTTCTAAATTCAGTATTTTTGTCAATACTTAGAACAAATAATTGCAGTTCCATTTCCCACTACAGCCTAGATCTAATCTTGAACTTTTGCCCATAGGCTTTATAACCTTAAAGAGTCCTGAAATTATTGGCATGTATTTCCAGCTATACAAAATTCCAGAATTTTATATGACAATTTAAAAGGATATTTTATAAATTAATAATTTCATGTGTGAAGGACCCAACTTCAGTTTGCATATATATTTTGATTTGCTGCCTTTGTGCAAATAACTGCAATGTATTGTATTATTACTTAGGTATATGGAGGTTCACCAAATCTTAATCCTTAGCTTGCAGAATTACTGGAAACCATGTGTGTGCTATATCGGTGCCAGATATGTCATTTATAGATCACTCTTTCATAAGGCAGCAAACTACTTCCTATGCCCAAATCATTTTCTTTCTGGAAAAGATACATTGTGTCAGCATGGTTACCATGTGTGGTAATTGATAATGTCTGTGCCACATGGCTTACTTCTACCCTTGTCCGGCACAGCTATTCTACCACCTATGATTACCATATGCTACAGCACTCTAGGTTAATGGAATCATTTCCATCTTCCCTTCTAGTCACAAATGTCATTGTGGCTCAATTCCATCAGCTCAACTAAGAATAAAATATTCCGTACTATCTAAGCAAAGAACACACCTTTGTGAAGTTTTCATATTTAGTTGACTGTTTGATTTTCATTTTTAAAAGCTAATTTTTTTTTGATGCATGTTCCAGAGTGAAGATTGGGCATCTGCTGACTAAAATAGGACATGATCAGTATCACTCTGAATTCTTGCATGTATTTATTTAAAATAAACATATAAAGATAGTTAAAAATTAGATGATAATAAAGGTAAAGTTTTTACCACCATAAAGCATTTTTCTTTTGTAAAGTGAAAACTAGTAGCAAAAGGTTGAAGTGGATTTTTAAAACAGTGTCAATTTATTTTGGAAGAACCATTTATTATAGAAGGAACATACCACATGTTAGCCATTTATAGCACCATCATCAAATTACCATCAAGCACTGCCCTCTTCTTTTGTAAGTATATCATAATAAATAATTTTGGTTCCTCAAAGAACCATGCTAGATAAAAAGATTTTTATTAATGGTTAAAACAAGAATAAAGGTTAGAATCTGTTTTGGGGATTTACTTCTTTGTTTTTTAAAACTAGTAAAATATAGTGCATGTGGACCAGTTATTACCTGATGTGAATTTTAATTTTGACAGCTTTGAATTATTGCTGCAACATGACCATATTAGCCAGCAACAAAAAAGAAATAAAAAATTATTATAGCAGTAGTATTTTTGGCAGCAAATGGGGATGATTTTTATATTATTGATCTGGGATGTAGAAGAGGAAGAAGTTTCTCTTTGAAAACGTTTCTATGTTACTCAGTTTTTTCAGTTGTCAGATGTTCTGTTGCTTCCTACTAGTCAATTTGACAACATAGTCAAATTAATATTTTAAAAACTATTGGCTGGGTGTGGTGGCTCAGGCCTGTAATCCCAGTACTTTGGGAGGCCAAGGCAGGCAGATCACGAGGTTAGGAGTTCGAAATCAACCTGACCAATATGATGAAACCCCGTATCTACTAAAAATACAGAAATTAGCCAGGCATGGTGATACACACTTGTAGTCCCAGCTACTCAGGAGGCTGAGGCAGAAGAATCGCCTGAACCCGGGAGGCTGAGGTTGCAGTGAGCTGAGATCACGCCACTGCACTCTAGCCTAGGTAACAGAGTGAGACTCCATCTCAAAAAATAAATAAATAAATAAAACTCTTTATATCAAGCTTGTTCAACCTGTGGCCCATGGGCCACATGCAACCCAGGACGGCTTTGAATGCAGCCCAACACAAATTCATAAACTTTCTTGAAACATGAGGTTTATGCATGGACTTTTTTTTTTTTTTTTAGCTCATCAGCTATCATTAGTATATTTTATGTGTGGCCCAAGGCAATTCTTCTTCCAATGTGGCCTGGGGAAACCAAAAGATTGCACACCCCTGATTTATATATTAGTTATCCTTCCATTCAGTTTTTAAAATATAAATTTAAAATATACATTTTAATATTTGCAACTTATCAATATTTGCAACTTATTAGGCCTAGCGTTAAACATTTACATAAGCATTAATTTTTAGGCCTTGGGATATGAGCTATATATAATTTGTTATAATACTCTCTCTGAAATATAAAATGCCAATATTTTACGTTAACGTAAACTATGTTTTACTATTTGAGATATGATATTAGCTTCAAATCAATTGTTTTTTACAACTAGCAAATCAAAATTGAGGGTTTTCTGGAAATAGTATTTCTATTTCTGCCTATAGATAAAACAGGCACACTTTAGAATGGAATAGACAGAATATTCCAGACTTGCATAATCAAGCTAATTTTTTTCTTGAGACAGGGTCTTGTTCTGTGGCCCAGGCCAGAGTGCAGTGGTGTGAACATGGCTCACTGCAGCCTTGATCTCCCAGGCTCAAGCGATCCTCCTACCTCAACCTCCCAAGTAGCTGGGACTACAGGCATGTGCCACTATGCTCGACTAATTTTGTTTATTTTTTGTAGAGGTGAAGTCTCACTGTGTTGCCCAGGCTGGTCTCAAACTCCTGGGCTCAAGCAATCCTCCCCCTTCAGCCTCCCAAAGTGCTGCGATTACAGGCATGAGCCACTGTGTCTGGCCCCAAGCTAATATTAATTGAAGATAAACTGAAAAGTTATAGACTGGTTTTTTTAAAATCAGCTTTGATATACTTCTTAGTTATAAGAAGCAATTATTTATGTCTCAAATATATATATATATATATATATTTTTTTTTTTTTTTTTTTTGAGACGGAGTCTTGCTCTGTCGCCCAGGCTGGAGTGCAGTGGCCGGATCTCAGCTCACTGCAAGCTCTGCCTCCCGGGTCCACGCCATTCTCTTGCCTCAGTCTCCGGAGTAGCTGGGACTACAGGCGCCCGCCACCTCGCCCGGCTAGTTTTTTTTTTTTTGTATTTTTCAGTAGAGACGGGGTTTCACCGTGTTAGCCAGGATGGTCTCGATCTCCTGACCTCGTGATCCACCCGTCTCGGCCTCCCAAAGTGCTGGGATTACAGGCTTGAGCCACCGCGCCCGGCCCCATGTCTCAAATATTTTATTAACTTAAAAAAATTTATAGACTTTTTAGAGCAGTTTTTAGGCTTACAGAAAAGTAGAAAGGACAGTTCCAATATATGCCTTCTCCCCTCACTTACATGTTTTCTCCTATTATTAACATCTTGCATTATTGCAGTACACTAGTTACAATTGATAAGCCAATATTGATACACTATTATTAACTAAAGTCCGCAGTTTACAGTAGGATTCACTCTTGAACATTCCATAGGTTTTGATAAATGTATAATGATATGTAGCTACCATTACAGTATCATACAGAATAATTTTCACTGCCCTAAAAATCCCCTGTTCACTACCTATTCATTCTTCCCTCCCTCCCCCGGAACCCCTGGCAACCTATTCTTCTAATTCCAGGAAATTGTTTACTGCTAACTTAAGTAAACTCAGTGTTCCAGTAGCCCCTTTGGAGACATAAGCTTGCTTTAACTTTAACTCATTTATAGTTCTTTTATATATACAGTCCATTTTATCATTCCTTAAAGTATTATTTATTACTATGTCAGTCAGGATCTAGTTAAGGAAACAGAGAATGGGGTGCAGTGGCTCACACCTGTAATCCCAGCACTTTGGGAGGCCGAGGTGGGTGGATCATGAGGCTAGGAGATTGAGACCATCCTGGCCAACATGGTGAAACCCCATCTCTACTAAAAATACGAAAATTAGCTAGGCATGGTGGTGTGTGCCTGTAATCCCAGTACTTGGTAGGCTGAGGCAGGAGAATCGCTTGAACCAGGGAATCAGAGGTTGCAGTGAGCTGAGATCGCGCCACTGCACTCCAGCCTGGCGACAGAATGAGACTCCGTCTCAAAAAACAAAAACAAAAAAAGAGAATCCAGGACATTGGTTACACAAATTATGGAAAGAGCTAAAAAGCCAGAAAGGGAAGATTCACTTCTCTAAGTCCTAAAATATTAGAAAGCTGGAAGCTGCTACCATCCCTAGGCTAAAGGACAAATGGGGGAAGATGTTGTTCTGGAGCTCAGGGGACAGGGTCACTGGCAAAAGCTAGAATTCCAATGAACATATTCACGGGGAGGAAAGCTACAAAGGAAATGCATCAGGCCTCAGGACTGAGCTAGGGAACAGAGCTTTTCTCCTTTCCTCCCGTCTTCCAATTTCTTGACAGTGCCTACCACTGGACACATCCCAGGTGAAAGTCAGCTGTCACAGTAGCCTAGTGAATACAGCCTGAAAGGGTCAGCTCTCCTACAATACAGAGCAGGGCTAGAGAGGAGAAGGAAATCAGTATGAGGGCAAAATGGACAAGGACTGACACAGTAATCAATTCTTTTTAACTTTAAAAATCAATTTTATTGAGGTGTAATTTATATGCAATATACTTATTTTAAATGCAGACTTAATTTTTTTTGAGATGGATTCTGCTATGTTGCCCAGGCTGGGGTGCGGTGGCTATTCACAGGTGCAATCATATTACACCGTAGCCTTGAACTCCTAGGCTCAAACGATCCTCTTGCCTCAGCCTCCAGAGTAGCTGGGTCTATAAGCACATCCCACCCCGCCTGGCAATAATTTTTGACAAATGAGTACACCCATATGACCAACCAGTCAAGATACAGAACATTTTAATCACTTCACAAAGTTCCCGCTTACTCCTTTGCCACAAATCTCCCATCCCATCTCAGTCCCAGGCCACCAGGAATCTGCTTTCTCTCACTATATAGGTTTATTTTCCCTCTTTAGGAATTTTATGCAAATGGAATTATATAGTATGTACTCTTTTGTGCCTGGATTTTTTTTTTTTTTTTTTTTTGAGACAGAGTCTCCCTCTGTCACCCAGGCTGGAGTGCAGTGGCGCAGTCTTGGCTCACTGCAAGTTCCACCTCCTGGGTTCACGCCATTCTCCTGCCTCAGCCTCTCCAGCAGCTGGGACTACAGGCGTCCGCCACCACGCCCGGCTAATTTTTTTGTATTTTTAGTAGAGATGGGGTTTCACCGTGTTAGCCAGGATGGTCTCGATCTCCTGACCTTGTGATCCACCCGCCTCGGCCTCCCAAAGTGCTGGGATTACAGGCGTGAGCCACCGCGCCCGGCCTGTGCCTGGATTTTTTTTGGCTCAGTATATTTTTGAAATTCATCCATGTTGTGTTTATCAGCAGTTCATTTATTTTTGTTGCTGAGTAGTATTCCATTGTATGAATACACTACTTTATCTGTTCACTTGTTGATGGACATCTGGGTTGCTTCCAGATTTGAGCTATTATGAATGAAACTTACGTGAATAGTTATGTACAAGTTTTTTTGTGTTTGGGGTATGTGCAAGTACATGTGTGTTTGGTGGACATGTTTTATTTCTCATGAATAAAATATCTGGGAGAGGAATTCTTGTTTCATATAAGAAACTGCCAAACTCAACAATTCTTTTTAACCTTATAAATGTCATTACTATAAATGTCCACAAAAGGACACTGTACATTTCCTCCAAAGAGCAAAGGGTTAGAGGGAGAATAATTTTTATGAGAAAAAAAATTTAAAAAACTAAAAAAATTTGATACCTTAAAAATATATTAAGCTTTTCATAACAGTATTTTCTTTCCTTTTTTTTTTTTTTTTTTTTTTTTTGAGACGGAGTCTCGCTCTGTCGCCCAGGCTGGAGTGCACTGGCCGGATCTCAGCTCACTGCAAGCTCCGCCTCCCGGGTTTACGCCATTCTCCTGCCTCAGCCTCCCGAGTAGCTGGGACTACAGGCGCCCGCCACCTCGCCCGGCTAAGTTTTTGTATTTTTTTTAGTAGAGACGGGGTTTCACCGTGTCAGCCAGGATGGTCTCGATCTCCTGACCTCGTGATCCGCCCGTCTCGGCCTCCCAAAGTGCTGGGATTACAGGCTTGAGCCACCGCGCCCGGCCATTTTCTTTCCTTTTTAAAAAATATATTTAAGGGACAGGGTTTTCCTTTGTTGCCCAGGCTGGTCTTGAACTCTTGAGTTCAAGCTATCCTCCTGCCTCAGCCTCACAAAGTGCTGGGATTACAGGCGTGAGCCACCATGCCCAGTCCTCAATATTTTTTTTAGTAG